TGGCATGTGGATTTTCAGGGTGAAGCGGCCGCCGGGTTCTCCGCCTGTCTTCAAGGCGCGTTACGTGGCTCGTGGCTTCAGTCAGCGGCAGGGAGTTGACTACTTTCAGACCTTCTCTCCCACTCCGAAGATGACCACTCTTCGGGTACTGCTGCACATAGCTGCTCACCGCGACTACGAGCTGCACTCTCTTGACTTCAGCACTGCTTTCTTGCAGGGCAGCCTGCACGAGGAGATCTGGCTGCGTCGCCCACCTGGCTTCACTGGGTCTTTTCCTCCTGGCACCCAGTGGAGCCTCCGGCGGCCAGTCTACGGTCTCCGCCAGGCACGGCGTGAGTGGCACGACACACTGAGGACTACACTTGCGGCTCCTGGGTTTGCTCCCTCTACTGCCGACCCGTCGCTGTTTCTGCGCACCGACACTTCTTTGCAGCCGTTCTACATCCTCGTGTACGTCGACGACTTGGTCTTTGCCACAGCTGACACTGCTGGACTCGCCCACGTGAAGTCCGAGCTGCAGAAGAGACACACGTGCACAGACCTGGGTGAACTGCGCAGCTACCTTGGCTTGCAGATCACCCGGGACAGAGCACGCCGCACCATTACCCTGACTCAGTCATACATGGTGCAGCAGGTCCTTCAGCGCTTCGGCTTCACGTACTTCTCGCCTCAGGCCACTCCTCTGCCTACTCGCCACTCGCTCTCAGCTCTGCCTTCGGATGAGTCCGTAGAGTCGAGTGGCCCGTACCCAGAGCTTGTTGGCTGCCTCATGTACCTGATGACCTGCACACGACCTGACCTTGCATACTCTCTTAGCATTCTTGCACGCTATGTTGCTCCTGGGAGACACAGACCGGAGCACATGGCTGCAGCGAAGAGGGTGTTGCGCTACTTGTGCAGTACGTCGGGCATGGGGCTTGTGCTTGGAGGGCAGAGTCCAGTGGTCCTCACTGGACACGCAGACGCTTCTTGGGCTGACGACCAGGCTACGCAGCGGTCGTCACAGGGTTACACCTTCAGCCTTGGTTCCGGCTCTGTTTCGTGGCGGGCTACTCGCTCGTCTTCTGTTCTCGGCTCCAGTTGTGAGGCTGAGATCTACGCCGGGGCCATGGCTGCACAGGAGCTTCGCTGGCTCACCTACCTGCTGACTGACCTCGGAGAGCCGCCTCGTTCTCCTCCAGTGCTCTACGTAGACAACAAGGCCATGCTGGCCTTGTGTCGAGAGCAGAGACTGGAGCACAGAACGAAGCACATTGCTCTTCGCTACTTCCTTGCTCGTGAGCTACAGCAGCGTGGTCAGCTGCGACTTGCGTACGTGGCCTCTGAGGCCAACACTGCTGATATCTTCACCAAGGCACTTGCGCCTTGTGATCATCAGCGCTTCTGTACTCAGCTGGGTCTTGTGCCTACCTTGCCTCACTTGCTCACCTCTTGACCTTGTTTGTACTGTTGCATATATATATACTCCTGCTCTTGCTTGTCTAGCCTTATATATATATGTAATCCTGCATGTGAACTGGCCTTGTGGCCTTGAACTTGTGCTCGGAATGTGTGGTGACTTTGTGATCCACCCTGAGCTTGCTTTGCTTTGCTTGACTGGTCTTGTGACCCCTTGTTCTCCCCCACTTTGCCTATGGGGGTGTGTCAGAGTTATATGACATAGCTACTGTAGGCTATAGTGGGGTAGCACATATGGGGTACAGTTGCCTAGGGTTTGCCTTTTGTACCCAACTTTCACTTAGTCATTTCATTCCTGTTTTCTTGATTCACAGAAAGAACATACTGCCTTATCTGCCTTGAAAAACGTTATCGGTTCGCCGCCCGTGTTACACGTCGCCTACCCTCACCGCCCATTCGAAGTGGTTACCGACGCCAGCAACATCGCCATTGGAGCCGTACTGCTACATGATTTCGGCAACGGCCTACGTCCCATCGCATACGAGTCACGAAAGTTGCACCCGCCCGAGAAAATTTACCGGATACACGACCTCGAAATGCTCGCGATCGTGCACGCGTTCAAAGTGTGGCGCTGTTATAATACCGTCACAGACGTGACAGTAAGGACAGATCACCGCCCATTACAGTACCTCCGCGCGCAACCCCACCCCAACCTACGATAGATCCGATGGCTCGACTTCCTCGAGTCAAATTTTCACTACACGGTCACCTACAAAAAGGGTACCTCATTCAATAGATTTCTCTTTCCTGAACCAGATCCTCACAAGACAGAAGCCGGCACTGGCTCGGTAGGAGGGGAGGGAGGGGGGGGGAGGGGCACGCGACGCCCATCCGTCAGAATCATCACCGCGGCCAACGCTCTTCGGGCCAGCAGGTCCCCACTGCTACTAAAAAACCTACTATTGAATTTGCTGCTGCTGCTGTTGTAACTGTTGTTGCGGCAGCTCTTTTGCTACTGCTACTGCTGAGCCAATGTAGCACGCCCAATACCAGTACCCTCTGTGGCAGCACCTCCCGGACCAGCACTCCCCTTGTCAGCACCCCCTGACTTACCAGCACCTCCACCTCCTCTACGAGCACAACCACTCTTACCAGAGGGGGCAGCGGCGGCTGCGACCTCCGTGGCAGTAGTAGGCTCAGCAACAACAGTAGAGGCAGCTTGCGCAGGGAGCTTGGGCGGAGCACACCCCTCAAAGATGGGGGACTGAACCAGTGGTGGAGACGATTGTGCGGAGGCGGGCCTCGATATTTGTGTGACTAGTCTCAAAGAGATCGATCGCGAGATCCATGAGGTGCATGGCGAGGAGGGCGTCGCGCGCAGGTGCGAGGCGGTTAGGAAGGCGGGTCGCGAGGAGGTGCAGGGTGTGAATTATGGGGTATGGGTGCCTAGCACACTGCTCGACGGTGCGAGCAGCGCGGTAGCTAGCATCAAGCGAGCGCAGGTGGGTGATAAGGTCAGCGGCAGTGGAGAACGCAAGGAGGCCATGGAAGAGGAAAGGCATGATGAAGCGCACTAGAGCATACAGGGGGGTATATGAAATGTTCCATACCCTCTATGTTGCAACCCTAGCTAGCCTATTGAGTACACAAATTTATAAATTATGTGAACGCTAATATCATTTTATTATCCTAAACGGTTATAATTCGATTACTAGCCCACCTAGCAAATTTTCATGTTGTTCCTATAAGTCCACATGAGTTCATTTTTGGGGGATGGCGGTTATGAAGGTTATTGCGGTCATTTTTTTAGTGTTAAAAGAATAAATTTATGGTACATAATGTGACATGCGAAACGACCATTTATAGTACGTTTATATGAACAAGGCAATCGTGAAAAGGAGTCTAGTAATTTCCTGAAAGTATGATCGGTTAGTAGAATTAGAGGAGATTGTATTCTGACCATATAGATTAATTCAGAATCACAACCCAATTAGGGTAGATGCTTTGTGTAATGGGGTATACAGAAGTATACGTAACGGACTTGTAAATGTAGACGAGGGACAAAATTTCAGTGCTGGAACTCTCTGTGATGCATACGTTCTTCTTCCACCTAGGGAACTTGCTGGTGCGCGCTGCAAGTGAATGAAATAGCCCAATATATCATCCATACCAATCCCCCCGAGCAACATTTGTGATAGCACACGATTCTCCTCTGCTGCCATGGATGCTGAAAACTACAATGCGCTTTCGAACCAGCCACTTGAGGTTGGCTGCCAACTGGATTCCTTCTTAGAGACAGACGCGGATGTTTCATGCATCGACGCTGAGTCTTCAGTCTTTTCGGCAAAAATCCCTATATCAGGTTTGTTCGTAGTAGCATAGTTCACGGAGTTTAAGCTCGACAGCTGTAATATAACAGTCGTTGTTCCGAATTGCAGTTGAAGTTTGCCTCAAGGCAGATTCAGAAGCCTCCTTCAGCGACGTCCGTGCATCAATCTACAGGTCAATTTCATCCGATCCCATGTTGCATTCTCTGTTGGCCTTTGATGTGACCGATAGAGCCTTTTCCAAAGTGCAGGTTGCTCGCAAATAGGCATCAAGTCTTCGCTAATGGACCTCTTGTTCTCAATCTGGGCGAAGAGCCATTCATTGATGACAACGTAGCTTCAATTCACTTTGTCGACATTGGTAAGTAAGGATTGTCATTAACTGCCTCAGCTAGCAGTTACTGCTGTCCTTACGAGCATGTTCATTGCAGATGAGCAAACTATCGCGAATCAGGTTATTCTCTTCTGGCAAGTTGATCTTCAAATCAGCATCTTCAAGGTCTGATTTTCCAACGAATTATATCATTTTTTGGCGTGACATACGAAATGAAATACAATCTGAAATGTGAGCAGTTGTGCCGAGGAGGTGCTGTTGAAGACACGGAACAAGAGCAAGAGGTTGCCTCGTTTGAATCATGGAATCTTCCGTCAGAGGATTTCCATGGTCTTTGGGAAAGGTACATTCGAAACATTTCATTTGCTCGTACAAGAGTTGTTGCAAGTCAGTTGTATCGTTCTGAAGGCTTTCTCGTTTCCAGCCTGGTCTATGATTCAGGAATCAAGCACCGACTTCTTCGATATGCTGCAAGTGCCCTTCTGTTTTCAGAGAAAGGCGTAAACTGTCAGCTTGTTTCTTGGAACAGGTAAATGGATGCAGCCAGATTGTTTGTGATACGTCAATACGCTTGCTGACCCATTTCAAATTTCAGGGTGGTTTTGTTGTTCGGACCACCTGGTACAGGAAAAACATCTCTCTGGTAAGCATTTGTTTTCACATACCGATCTCTGCATTTTGGTTTTGGGGGTCTTGAATTGGTACAGATCCTTCTTCGTCCACACACTCACCTCCACTTCCCTTCCTGTTATCTTGTTGCTTTTGCATTCAGTAAGGCACTGGCCCAGAAGCTATCTATACGTTTCAAAGAAAGGTGACTATATTGCTTCATGTCAGTCACTGCTTGATCAGTTGCGAGCTTGGAGTTTCTTCATAACACCAGTCGACAGGTATCAGACAGCTCATCTTATTGAGGTGAATGCGCACTCCCTCTTCAGCAAATGGTTCTCCGAAAGCGCAAAGCTTGTAAGTTTTTCTGGGTTGACGGTAGTAATGCCATTCGAGAACATGGTCTCAAATGTCCATTCTCTGTTGCAGGTGAGCAAGCTGTTCAGTCACATCCAGTCCTTCGTGGAAGATCGAAGCTCGTTGGTGTTTGTACTTATTGGTATGTGAAGGTATCCAATTTCCATTCCACTTTCTCTGTGCGCCGTGAGGTGTTTACTAAAGTGTTGCCTTGGTCAGACGAAGTTGAGAGCCTAGCTGCGGCACGTCAAGCTGCTCTGAATGGCTCAGATCCCTCGGATGCTATAAGGGTACGTTGACCTGTGACCTGTCAGGCCTTGATATGAGTGCGTGTTAAATCCCCCGTGTGCATGTGTGCAGGTCGTGAATGCATTGTTGACTCAGCTTGATAAACTGAAGCAGCATCCTAACGTCATGGTTCTGACGACATCGAATTTGACACATGCCATTGGTCCGTCCTGGCGCATTTGTGTAAAATTCATTGTCTGTTCAAGGTCTAAGAAATGGCGCCCTTTCTCTTTCTTTCAGATCTGGCGTTCATTGACCGAGCTGACATTAAGGCATTTATTGGACCACCGTCACTGCAAGGACGTTATAATATGCTGCATTCGAGCTTCTGCGAGCTCCAACGAGTTGGGATTGTTGAAGAGGTGGAGGTACGAGTTGCCCTCGTGTTATTTATGGCTCTGCAATCTCCGTTTTCTCTGAATTTCCTTGTGAGCTGATTCCTGTTATGACTGACAGGGCAACACTGACTATCCGTCCACTTACAACGAACTGATGCTGAGCGATTGTGATAGTGAGGACATGGGGAGTAGTAAGGGTGTCCAATTAGGGAAGAAGCTTCTCGAGGTCGCCAAGGCGTGTGAGGTACGTTTTCAAATTCGCCAAGAGTGGCTGTTTGGAGTAGCGTTCGTGTTGTGCTAAACCAAATCATCCTTGCAGGGGCTTAGCGGGCGAATTCTAAGGAAACTTCCTTTTCTGGCCCATGCTACAAGCAACATACCTGGTGCTTGCTCAGCTGACAGCTTCATTGACAAGCTGCAGTCAGCGGTGCAGAAGGAGCTGGAAGACAGGAACAACATGGCCACGAGGTAGCAAAACCATACTGAATGTCATGCATAAGTCCTTTTTTACGAGAGTCATCTTCTATCAGAACTCTTTTTGTTGGAAAACCCCAAGACATGAAAATTGCTGATTAGGCAGGGGAAAGGCCAGAGAAGGAATATAAAACTTGCATTCATACACCAGAAGGATGCCTGATAGTCACTCTTGGACGCAAAAAACCAATGAGAGGAGCATTAGAATGCTAGTATTTACATGCGTCTTTTGTCCTCAAGTTACCATCCCGTTCCACCATCGGCTCCTCATTCCTTCCATCTCACCACCTCTGTTCCACAGTCGTACCTTCCCACCAACTCTGCTCCTCATCCCATCCTACCATCGCTGTTCCTCGTCCCATCCCACCATCACTGCTCCTCGTCCCATCCCACCATCTCTTTCAAGATCCCATCCCATCATCTCTGCTCTTCATCCCATCCCACGATTGCTGCTCCTCATCCCTGTATGCTCCTCATCCCATCCCACCATCTCTGCACCTCATTCCGTCCCACCATCTCTGCTCCTCATCCCATCCCATCCCACCATTTTTTCTCTGCATCCCATCCCACTATCTCCATTCATCATCCCATCACACCATCTTTGCTCCTCAGCCCAACGACCATCTCTGCTCCTCAGCCCATCCCACTGTCTTCGCCCCTCATCCCATCCACCATCTCCGCTCCTCATCCCATCCCACCATCTCTCTAATCACCCCATCCCCCAACCTCAACCCTCAACCCATCCCATGCCACAGTCTCTTTTCATTATCCCATCCCGCTATCTCTGCTGCTCATCTTATCCCATCATATCTGCTCCTCATCCCATCCCACCATCTCTGTTCCTCATCCCATCACACCATCCCTTCTCATCCCATATGCACCATCTTTTCTCCTCATCGCATCCCACTATTTCGCCTCCTCATCCCATCCCACCATCTCTGCCCCTCATCCCATCACACCATCTCTTCACATCCCATTTTCACCATCTTTTCTCCTCATCCCATCCCACCATCTGTGCCCCTCATCCCATCACACCATCTCTTCTCACCAGTTTCACCATCTTTTCTCCTCATCCCATCTCACTATTCCGCCTCCTCATCCCATCCCACCATCTCTGCCCCTCATCCCATCACACCATCTCTCTAATCATCCCATCCCACAACCTCAGCTCCTCATCCCATCCCATTTCACCATCTCTTTCATTATCCCATCCCACTATCTCTCCTGCTCATCTTATCCCATCATATCTGCTCCTTATCCCATCCCACCACCTCTGCTCCTCATCCCATCACACCATCTCTTCTCATCCCATGCACACGTGCTACTGACGGTCATCAACAGCCCACAGGCTCATGTAGGGTGGTGGGAGAAGCGATACCAGCATCACTCTGTGCATCAGGCGCATAGACCGCCATTTGTATGCGGCATGCCGCAGAAGCATCAGCCCCATGGATCAAGCCTTGCTTTTCATAACAGGGCATGCGTTTATATTGCCTGCAGTTAAACCCTCCACATTTTTATCAAAGCATTTTGCTGCTGCTGTGACTTCAACAGTGACTGCTGCTGTAGCTGTGGCTATGCCTCAACAAGTTTGTAGATGTCTAGCATGTTTACAATTGACCATTTGCCGTGTATTCGTTATGCAATGAGCATCTCTTGAGCAAGTGTAACCCACACGTGTACTTTGACAAGGATACATCGTGAACCTTGAAGAACTATCTTCGTTTTTACTACGGTACCCACAGGACCACAGCAGTGTAGCGGTAACAATGATACAAAAAATTGGGCACTCAGAACTTGTGGCAGCTAATGCTAGGCAATGTATCGAATCAATCAAAGCTTACTCTTAGCACTTGCAAGGGAGAAGATTAACCACTGTATATAGTCACGGTCGGAGACTCATGTCCAAGCCAACCACCACACTGTCAGCGTGCAAGTGTTTTGAGGCGCCTAAGAAGATGGCTCTTGAAGTTGGAAACGCGTTTGAGATAGAATCATTGTCTTAACGGCCTGCAAAAGGTTAGCAAAATGACATCCTTCCAGCATAAAGGCATTTAGTAGAATTCTGACCTGAAATGACCTGCATACTGCCCTGAATACTGGCCAGAATTGAGACCTGGGTAATGACCTGACGACCAACCTGAATACCATACCAACCTGAACAATATACCCACCTGAATACTATACCAACCTGAATATTGACCTGCTGAACTACTCCCTCCCAACCCAACCTGTCTCACAGAAACTGGATTACCTTGCTGCTGTAGCAAACAGTAGCCATGTGGCTCTCCTGATTGTGAGGCGATTATTTGTCGACTCAACAGTCACCAATGCTCACCTGATTGCATGCCAGCATTCAACTAAAGGTTGAACCCCCACAGCCTTCATTGCTTTGGCTCACTGAGGAAGGGGAGCGGGCGGGAGAGGGTGACGGTGAGTGGGAAGGCGAGGGGCCTGGGAGGGGAAAGGGTGGGTGCAGGGCAAGGGTGAGGGGGCAGGGAGAGGGTGAGTGGCGAGGTATGGGAAACGGGGCAAAGAGTGAAGGTTCTGAGTATGACATCATTTCAAGGCCTGAGCTGCAGTATCGATCACAGTGCTTACTGGCGATGCTTAAAATCCGCGCAAACACGCAGGAGCATACAGAGGGACAAGCATGCTTTCACAATGTGGCACATACACTTAACAGGAGAAGATGAAAAAAAACCTCTTTGGCGAATGAACAATCTGCGAAGGAGATGCATACGAGTAACCCAGCAGCACATGTTATGCTAAAATCTTGGCGGCCCTTGGTTCGGGCACGGATTTGACTTGGCATGGCACGGATATGACCTGATACCTGAATGTCGTCCTGATACCTGAATGCTGACCTGATACTTGAATACTGACCTGATACCTGAATACTGGCATGATTCCTGCATACTGACCTGTTACCTGAATATTGACCTGATACCTGAATTCTGACCTGACACCTGAATACTGCCTAAATACCTGAATGCTGACCTGATACCTGAATGCTGACCTGATACCTGAATACTGACCTGCTACCTGTATTCTGACCTGTTACCTGAATGCTGACCTGATACCTGAATGCTGATCTGATACCTGAATGCTGACCTGATATCTGACTACTTACCTGATAAACTGTCCATGGACCTGAACAGCACCAAATCGGCACGGAAACTGGTTCGGCACGGTACAAAATGGAGCTGGGGGATTATGAATGATGCAAGAATCGGTCCTAGCTTGAAACACACCCACCCTCTCCCGATGCTGTTCCCCATTTTCAAGTTTCAACCTCACGCCAGAAGTAGCCACATAGACAACCTGGTTGATCGCAAGGAGAACTCTGCAGTCCTCTCAAATTTCACCGAATCTCGCCTTATTGCGGGCCAGCAGGAAGCACTGACAACGGCAAAGAGTCAGAAGCAGTCAGAAGTCGCATCCAGCGAAAGGTCGACCACCACACCCTGCACTGCTTTGAAAGCGGCTAAATGTGAGCACTGCTTTGCCTCACTGAGGGAGGGGGAGTGGGGGGGAGAGCATGATGGGGAGCGAGAGAGGAGTGGGGGGTGGGAGGGAAGGGGGAGGGGAGGGGGAATGGGCAGAGAGATGGTGAGTGGTGAGGAAAGGATGGGCATGGAGAGGTAATTGAGTCATGTTTTCGAGCCCTCTGCTGCAATAATGGTCACAGTGCTCACTGGTGAACCTTGGATTGGAAGCCTAGCCTACAGAAGCATGCTTTTACAATGGGGCACGTGCATTTTACAGGGGATGTAGACTGAAATAAGGAAATGCCTTGTTGGCAATTGAACACATTGGGAAGGAGATCATTCCAAGCAGCACATCCATGCGTACAAGTGCCTCTTGTAGCATGAACAACCGTGCATACAAACAATGTGAGACATACTCATGTGACATGTCATACGCCCCAGCTGCCCCAAACAACAAAATCAACAGCCCATACAGCAGATAAAGCTCCTTGGTTATTGCAACTGGTGTCTTAACTTCGTGATAGATACACATCAATGATCATAATGGCATACAATTTACATGGGCCTACAAGTAACCAACTTAGCCCTACCAGTGAACTATATTATACAAGGTAAAACTTTTCCTATACGCTACTCAGTAGCAAGTCATATTTGTCACCTCCACCTGGGTTGCTGACCCTGCTGCTTCTGCGAGGCTGCTGTTGCAGTCTGGCCTCGCAGCTCACTGTTGCTCCCTGCTGCTGCCTGCACTCCCTTCTTCCCCTCCCCCCTCACAGCCGAAACTGAACCTTTTCTCAATCCGCTCGTGGCAGCAGCAGCCCCACCAGGGGCAGCCGGAGCAGCATGTCTTGCTGACTTTTCAACTGTCACTGCAGAAACCTTACCCTTGCATCCGACACTTTTCTCTGCAGCACCAACCTTGCTTGCCTCTCCCTTTCCAGTCCCTCTCACGGCTGAACCACAGAATGCTGCATTCACGGGTGGCTTCACTACTGCTTGTGTGACTAGCTTCGCTGCTGCTTTCACCGCTGGTCGTCCCGCTGGCGAAGCTGCTGCGCGTGCTGATGGCTTGCACGCAGCCGGCTTTACCACAGCGGATACTGCTGCCTTGGCCACTGGCCGTACTGATGGGGCTGCTGCCTTGACCACTGGCCGTACTGCTGCCTTCGCCACTGATCGCGATGGTTTCACTGCTGATCGTGCTGATGGCTTGCAAGCCTCTTTTTTAAGCGAAGCACCAACAGGCACAGCAGCAGAAGCAGCAACAACGGCGCCAGCAATGGCGTCAGCAACGGCATCCGCAGCAGCAGCAGCCGCAGCCACAGGCACAGCAGCAGCGACAGCAGCACAAAGAGCATCAGCCGCAGCACTTGCAGCAGCGGCAACCATGCCAACAGCAGACGCGACGGCCGTGACAAGGGCGGGCCTTAACGGCGAGAAGCACAGCCGCGCTCCATCACGGTGTTCCCGGCGGTTCTTGCTCGCCTCAGCAAAGCGGCCCAGCTTGAGAGCCACCTCCGTGGAGGTCATGGGCTTGCGAGCCGCCAGCAGCAGCATCTGCTCGCCTTCACTCCTAACTGCTGGAGTCCTAATCGAGTGATTGTTCAGATAAGCTTCGTCCGCGTCTGTCCATTCCGTGACGAATTCGGCGGGGTTAACTGAACCGTGCTCGGCCACCCACTCGGCAACACTCCAGCCAACGGACGTCCTTACTGAAGCACTTCTCAGATACCTATCATCGTCAACCGTCCACTCTGTGATAAAATCATCAGAGTTTACAGCATGTCCCACCAGAAGCAACAGCTCGTCGCTCACGCTCAGCGTAGCACGGCAATTCCTGACGGGAGCTCTCAGATCGGCCTCGTCTTGAGCAGTCCATTCGGTGATAAAATCAGCGGAGCTTACTGTTGTAAGTTTCGCCAAGAGCAGCAGCTCCTCGCTCACACTGAGTTCAGCCGGTGCTGCTCTCAGTTGAGCTTCATCAGCAGCAGTCCACTCGTAGAGGCAATCGAAGGGAAGGGGGTTGACTGCAGGGCAGTCCAACCAGCTCGGTACCTCCCACAGGTACCTCGCTGCGTTTCCGAAGCACGTGGCAGCAGCAAGTGCAACGGCAAGAGCAGTTTCAGGGTTGACCGAGTCCATTCGAGCAACGAGGGTTCTCAGAGGCACGAGGGAAAGTCTGTGCGAGTGACTGAACGAGTGTGTGAAGCAAACAAGTTGTGATTGAATAGAAATGGTCGTCAAGTGACCATTTCTACTGACACCCGGCAAAGGTTTCCCCCGTTAACGAAGGGGCCGTCGTTCGAGCGTTGGTTCGGCACTCTTGGGTGGAGCTTCGGCACCACACACGTTTACTGCAACGCTCTGAGGCAAATGCGACGCGGCAGTGGGTGGTCCACATTGCTGCTAACCTGACTGTACCGCCAGCTAACACGAAAATCGGACGGTTGGAGTGTCTCCGGCGCTTCCGGAAACGAATCTGCGGCAAAGCTATCCCCTCGGTTTGATTATTTTACAGCACGCTCACGTGGATGACAATGCAACAGCTAGATAAGCTCAAATCGGACGGTTTAGAACAATTCGACATTTTCGGAGCCCTGTCTACGGTTTAGGTTTGGCACCAACATCCGCAGCGCGTGGACTTGAATGGAAGCT